GTGTGTGTGTGTGTGTGTGTGTGTGTGTGTGTGTGTGTGTGTGTGTGTGTGTGTGGTGGGGTGGTATATTTATTGTGATGCAGTGATAATAGCCTGCATTATTGTAATATGATAAATAATGATTATTTTTGCTTTTGTGTAGCAACATGTAGAATAAATTTATTCCTACCACGTCATAGTAAATCTACCTTTATAAAATAATTTGTTTGGTAATTACACTGTAAACTTTTTAGATAGGGCGGCACGGTGGCTTGGTAGAGCTGATGCCTCTAAGCAAGAAGGTTGCCGGTTCAAATCCAGGCCCGGGGACCTTTCTGGGTAGAGTTTGCATGTTCTCTCCGTGCATGCGTGGGTTCTCTCCGGGTACTTCATCTTCCTCCCACAGACCAAAAACATGACTCGGGTTAATTGATAACTCTAAATTGTCCCTAGGTGTGAGTGAGAGAGTGAGTGGTTGTTTGTCTCGTTTGTCTCTATGTGTGTCTCTGTGATGGACTTGCGACCTGTCCAGGGTGTACCCCGCCCATCGCACTGTGACTGCTGGATATGGGCACCAGTGACCCACGCAGCCCTGAAAGGAATAAGCGGGTACAGAAGATGGATGGATGGACTTTTTAGATATTTTTTTTAGTGTAGTTCCCTGAGACGACAAATGCTGTGACTTGGCGCTATATAAATAAACTGAATTGAATTAAACACTACAAATCAACATAATAAGCAGTTAAAGTGTATTAAAAATATTATAGGGATTTGTTTTTCTGTCAAATAGTAATGCCAGGTTTACATGGCAAGATATTCATGCTGATTTTTGACCCAATCTTTGCCCTTCTGACAATCTTAAGAATGCCCCGATTATTGTGATGGCTCTAAAGATAATCTTACGAGATATTCCTGCCGTGTGTGGTGTGTTAAGAGTGATCTAGCCAGCCCGCAAGGACACCATGACCGTTCTGACTTCAAATTGGGGATATGCAATGTGTTATATTGTCTTGGGACAATATACAATAGTGTATGGTGTTCCCCGGAGGACAAACAAGCTCACAGCTTGTTGAATGGGATTTGTAGCCAATCAGAAATCCAGGTGGGAGTGGAATCCAAAATACAGATGACAAAAAACTGCCATGGTGCACCAGAAGGTCCAGTGGACATCTGAGACGTCTTTTTGTTTTGTATTTTCTCTGTTAAAAATAGTCCACATTAATTTTTCCTCGTCGACCATGTTTGTTTACTCTGAACTCACGTTTGATCTTGAGGGGTTTTGCGAGATTTCCCATCTGACATCATAATATTTCTGAGTGAAATCTGTTCATGTGTGGTGTGTTGTTTTTGCAGTGTGGCTATACACCATACACTGTAAGACCAAACCTGTTATATCAATGACTTTTATAACTTTGTGCATGGGGTCTCAGGTTTTGAAAGTCATCCACCTATTTTAAAATCTCACTGTGTGAACCAGGCATAAGGCTTTTTTCAGACCTACCATTTGTCTAGATTAGTTGTCTTCTTAATCAGCTAGATTTTTAACATCAAAAGTTGTCAGCAACATCTTATACCAAATAGTGTGAAAGTTATGGTATTAATTTTGTTTCAGTACAATCATTTTGTCCTTCAAAAATATTAAGATGTTAAAGTCAAAAGCCAAGGTTTATATACAGTCATCCACGTGTTTCATGCAATTCATAAATAAAGCAGAAAAGGGTTCATTATATTTGTTAGCTTGTAAATGTCTCACAGACAGATGAACTCTGTTCTGTCTACAACACATAAAATAATAATTGTTCAAAATCTTTCCTCTGTATCCCGCTTAAAAACAAAGATTCAAATGTTTGGTTTAGTATCACTGTGCCTTTATTGTAAAAAATAGAGATATGGCTTGAGACGAGTAAAAGATTACTTTTTTTTCTCTTTATGAATTACTGCTTGCCTAATATGATTGATGTTTGATGTGCAGCACTACAGCCAAGACTGTGAGACATTTCGCACCGTGGTGAAGATCCTGGTAGACAAGGAGCCCAGTCTGGAAGGTCTGCTAAAGGCACCGCTGGATAAGAGTCTGTTGGAGATGAAACAGCGCTGCCTCGATTCCCTGAGGAGTTTTGTGGCCGAACTGGATGAGATATTAGAACCTCCACACAACTCAGAATAAGCCCTGTATCTCGAATCACAAGTGAGATTGTGGACTAATGATGCTTCCAACAAATGTAGAAATTTGTGGACTGAAGAATTGACCTCCTTTATTCAAGGATTTTATTTTATTTTTTACATTTTTATGTTGCTTTTAGTCAAATAACTGATCTAAAAACGTATCACTTGTGTATTAAGCAGAGTGATGTATTGAAACTAGACTAGTTTTATTAATTGATTAAAATAAATGTGTTGGTACCTGTAGTATTGACAAAAATTTTAAATGAGATGTTTAAATCAATTCACAATGTCATAAACACTCTTGATATTAAAATTCCTTCTAACCAGGGTTTGGACAGAAAACACAAGTAAATCATGGACCTTGACTTTTCTGTTAGTTTAACTCAAAATTTTATTTTTCTTTGACCGTAAATAGACTCAGCAGCCTTCTTCAATGAACAGGCAAATAATCCACCCTGGATATTTTGCAAGTAAAATGCTGTTTGTACAAAAACATTATTTCCAAGTTTATCCTTTTTTTGTCTTATTTTGTACTGGAACTGTGCTGCTTGTAGTTTATGCTTTATACTTATTTTATTTCAAAATAAAAAATGAGACATCAAAAAAGTACATGTTTATATAGATTTTTTTTACAATGCATCATTTATTATGTCTGCAACAAAAAAAACATGCAGATAGTTTTATTACAGTCACCTATTATGGCCTTACTTTCCAGTTTGTACATTTATACAGACTACATTTGCTTATAATAAATGACCCAATAATACACTGCTCAACCAAGCAATGTAATACATACAGTGCTTTTATATAAGCCACACAAGTCTGGAAGCAACACATTTGCTGAGCTTGGACACAGAAAATGTGTTCTCTAATTTATATTACCCATATTAAATGACTATAAACTGCCTATAGTTAAATATAAATGCTTTTGTGGTACAAACAAGGCACGTCAAAGTTACCAAAGTTGTCATATTTTTCTTCCCCCACTCTACAGTTAATACATCTTATTGGCACTGTTAAATAAACATGTTTCATAAATGTTTTATTCTGAAATGATCCCGTTTGCCATTCCACACACTAATAAGTTTTATGTCAAACAACCATTTTGATTAACTGAGTGATGTGAGGTGTTAAAAGTAGACAAGCTGTGAGTGGCAGCATGACATTAAAGCCAAGTAAAGCCTATGAGATTATACAGTTTTTCCCTTTGTGGCCTTTTTTCTTTTTGGACTTAGTCCATTGGTCATAAGGAGGAGAGGACATGCTGGCTACAGAATGGGCCAAGTTCTCAGTGTAGTAATGTCTGTGTGGCCTGGGCTGGGGTATGGGCTTACCCAAAAAGAAACCCTCTTCCTCTGAATCGGAGGAGGAGGATGAACACGTAGAACACCAGTCATCGTCATCACCATAAAGTCCCAAGAACCTCCCGTTTGCTGGGCCGTGTAGTCTGTGGTCCGTCAAGGCAGCTGCATTGGGGTGACCATGGAAGACTTGATGCCCCTTTGGTCCCATGGCACTGCCTCTTTGGTCTACTTTGTAGCACACCTTTGCTCTCTCTTTGGGCAGAAGGTTGAGAGCATTGTCAGAGCGAGATTTGCGACTTCTGCGCCTCCTGTGATGATGATTGTGGTGACCAGATTGAAGGTTCTGGCCATGTTCCTCGAAGTTGTACACTCTCCGACGAGTCCGTTCACTCATAGGAGGCTGCCGCAATGGGAGCTCACCATAATGACCATTGTCTACCACGTCGTCGGAGAACTTGACTTGTTGGTGCCTGGACTGTGAGCGGGCCCTCCTCAGGGCAGGGATGTGAGGTTTCGGTCTTTCCTGCAAGGGTACTTCCTCTCCTGGAACATTCTCCTCCTCCTCAAGACTCTTTAGGGAGTTTGTACTTCTTTGTAACATTGAAGAGTTTAGAGTTCCCATATTACTGGTTTTCTCACAGTCTTCTGTATCAAATTCATGGGGAGTTTGCAAGGAATATACTTGAGGTCTAGTTATAAAATCTGCACAGACAGAGGCCCCTGTAAAAGATGGGAAAAGTGTTACAAAATGCTTCAAGGTAAACAAACGACCATTCAAAACATAAACATCAACACAAATGGGTCAGACTCTGTCTACTCACCAGTAATATTGGATAGAGCAAGGGACTCCATGGAGCCACGGACACTCTGATTTGTTTTCTTGAATTCATTTGTGATGCACTCTAAAGAGTCAGTGTACCATTGTGGTTCCTCTCCTTGGAGGCCCCCTCCTGCCATATGATCCAGCTCCAGCTCCTGGATTTTTCGGCTTGCTGGCCCCGGATGGCTACCATAGGCTGAGTCCCCTAGCCCATCTTGAGATTGTGTCCAGTACATGTCAGTCTGGTACTTCTTACTAACCAAGCCTCCACTTGTATCTCTTCCACCACTGCCGGTTTTGGAGGACTCCTGCTTTGACTTGGGATCCTTTTCAGCTATCAAAAAATCAGTGGGTCTCAAGTCACTGGCCTGCTGGAAGATCCCATTCTCTCCAAACTTTAATATCAACTGAGTCATGTAATCTTCATGTTCAGCCCACTCCTCCTCTGGGTCTTCAGCTGGCTCGGTCTCCTCTCCGTGGCCCCTCCATAAATGCTCATCAGACAAGTTCCTGTGGGTTATCATCTTGGTCAGGGTGTCCTCTGCATTTCCGCTAATGCCGGGGAACTTGTAGTTGACCGATGGTGAGAAGAGCAGCGACTGTCTGCACTGATCGGCTGAGCGGCTGCTCTTCCCCAAGCGCACGCTGCTGCGGGATTCTCGTGAACGCGCTGACTGGAAGGCGGAGTCCGAAGAGTCAGAAGCGTGCACATCCTCCCCAAGAGTGCAGGACTTGGAGCAGTAAATACGACCCTGGTATGGCAGGAAAGGACAACCGATCAAAGAACTCTTACACTGGGCACAGCTGAAGCAACTGTCAGTGGCATGCCAGTGGAGCCCATCGTAGGTCATCTGAGCGTGATCGACACCTGGAAAAGGATGATGTCAGATTATAGGCAATGTGCTGTTTAGAAGACAAAAATATGTGGCAAATGTTTGAACTAGAACAGCATCGTCTTACTGATGTTTTCTCCGCAGGCCTCACAATATTCTGCATAGAGAGACTCAAAGCAGCCACAACAGTACGGTCTGCCATCCTTCATGATGTACCGCTGCCCTCCCAGAACTGTCTCGCATTCAAAACAGGAGAAGTGCTTCATGTGCCAGTGGCGACCCTCTGCCTCGGTGCACTCATCAGCAAAAATGATCTAGGGGGGGAAAAAAGAAAAAGAAAGAAAAAAACGTATAATAAATTATGCTAATTTATTTTTCTTCTTTTATTATTCTGAAGACAAATGTTATTGCTATTCCAGACGATTAAAGAAATAAATTCCAGATCTCTCTCCCCCTGCTCTACAGTTATTACAGTATTTTTTCCACTCCTGTGGTTATACCTCGTCACAAGCCGAGCAGCGTGGTTTGAGTAGCTCAGCGTGGTGCCTTCCACAGTGGATTTTTCCATCATGGTAGAAGTAGATCAAATCCACCAGCAGTTCGGTACAAGTGGAGCAGGCAAAGCATGCTGGGTGCCAACACAGCTCTGGACTCGCTCTTGAGGCAAACACTGCCATTTCCCCTCCACTGATGCTTTCCCCACACTGTAATCAAGAAATGACTGGTTCATTATAGCTATCCTAACAGTACTACAACAGGAGGTTTAAGTGATAAGTTTCCCCTGCTTGTCTTTATCAAATTCATTTCACAAAGACACCATTTTTCAAATGAAATATTATTTCTAAGTTTGTTTTTGACAATCACATTCTTAAAACTATGAATTGACATCAATTTATGGGTATACTTTCTGGCTCACTGATCATTGTAAATACAAAGCGCAATAATTTCTGAAGCTAATCTAGCACATTAAGCATGTTCAGAGGGATTTATTAGACATGAATGCAATTTGTCAACCTGTATATCATAATCTCCTAAATAACATGTAGGAACTTGAGACATATTGCAGCTTTTCAATTAAAGTTTTAGTTAAATTTGAACCCAGACTGCACAGATGCCAGCAACTGAGATGGATTTACTTTTGACAGGACAACAAAAACTCGGCTCATGATTCCAAAAGCAGCTTTTTAGACACTGGTGTGTACAACTTACGTGTTCGCAAATGCTGTTCAGAAGATTGCGGGGTAACAGTTTGACTATGCCTCTGCCTAATGCCTCCTTCTTTCTTTGGACACTGAACATTTGTAGCTCTTTCTTCTCTTCCTCTGAGAGAGATTGGCAATACCGTACCTGAGAAAAGAAATCAACAAATTTTATGTAGATATTTAAACCAATTTAAAAGTTGAACTTGCACATAAAATGTCTATGTTTTGGAATCTTATTTTCTAATACTAAAGTCTAAGCACAAGAGGATGCACATTTTGACTAAAGTAAGGATTCTTATGTTTTAAAGTTGGTTCTGTGGAAAGGTTGGCACTATCTTACCTGTTGCACAGCTGTTTAAACAATCAGTTTGAAAAAATAAAGTGAAATTCTGACTGGATTGATGAGCTAGTGTGAACACAACTCATCCCAAAGTTGATTGCTGCCATCTTTAATCAATTTAATGATGAAAAAAATGATATAGGTATAGGAAATACCCTTCCATTTCCTTCAATTTGTTAACATACACTGAAAGAAAACACTTGTAAAATTTACTAGATAAAATAGTAATAATTTGTACTAGCACTGTAAGTAGAATTTACTGCAGTAATATCAGATCATAATGATAAAAAAATAGATAAAGGATCCTAGATTTAAATAAAAGAACCCGTCCAGACTACCTCAACTTTTTTTTAGCTGCGGGTACAAATTTCTTGTCAGTATTAGGTAAAATGTACTTCCCACCCCGGTTAAAATTCATGAATTTACTGAGTAACTTTCAATTAAATAATTTAAAATTCTTAGTCATATTTATATAAATTAATTTGGTAAAGTAAATAAAATATTGTTATGTATGACAGTATATATACAGTAATTAAAAAAATAGTTGAGTAACAATTACTCAGTAAATTTATGACTGTTAATTGTGGTAAGTACATTTTACGTAATACTGACAAGTAAACCGTACCTGATATTACAGCAGGAAAATTTACATGAAACGAGCTGCAAATTGTTACAAGGATTTTATCGAGTAAACCTTACATGGTTTTTTTTTCAGTGCAGGATAAATTTGTTGCAGCAGCACTTCTGGCAGCAATTTCATATTTCTGCAAGAATCACTGTTGTAAAATTTTTGCGATTAGAGAAGTTCAAAGAACTTTCTACAACAGGTAAGATATTCTTTGTTTATAAACTTTCCAGAGAAGGACATTTTAAATATTCTGAACTATATATTGTTAGTGTGATTTAAGTACTATTCAAGTGTATTAAAAACCAGTGTTGCAGGAATTTTAGCAATTGGTTATTAAGGGTCTGACAGAAGACAGAGTGAATAGCAGAGCTTACTGAATAAAAGCAACTTTTGACCCCAGCTTGCCCTTCCTACACCCCACAACAGATCTCCACCCACAGTGACCGAGAAGCTCATTTTTTACAACTGCTCTTTTTGATGTTTCCCAAAGCCTTAACAAGAGGGAAAGCAGACGTTTACACAAACAAGGTCCTGTGTTCAGAATGAAGTGAAGAGGCCAGGGAACAAAGGAAGAGAGGCGGCCAAGTCGAAGTGTGGTGCCACTGCGGTGGTGGCATCACATAAAGTCTCTTTTTAACCAGCGTCCCTCTCTCCTGCTGAGGAGTCCTCATATAAAAACCGCTGTTATGACAGGAATCCTGCTGGTGGGGGCTTCTGGCAAACATCATAAAGTCATCGAGTCAAAAGCTACTTTGTGCCCAAACAACATGGGTTTAAGATTGTGGAACAAAGATCCTCTAAGGTGTGATGTCAACACAGAAGCCAAGATGGCAGAGAGTTTAACGTGTGGGTTTACTGAGCCGCAAGAGATGCATCTACTCAAACAACCTGCTGAGAAGATCTTTTCTGGTAGCCACAGTGTAAATGAGAAGACCTGCTGAGGGGGAGATGTAGTACAGTTGCAAACAAAATATATTCTCACCTCATTATCATGTGGCGGCAGTTGGTAGAGGAGCTGCTTGACTCTGAACTTCTCTCCTGGACTGTTGACATAAGGGATCTTATCCTCAGGCAGGCAGGAAAAATATAACTGGATCTGAGCAAATCAGAGAAAAAATGTCAAGGAAAACCTTTCCAAATATGGGATTTTCACAATCTGTGATTGATGTCTTTAACACTGTAACAACCCAAAGAGAGGTTTTTATATATATGTATATATATGTATATAAACTCCCCTTGTGAATGATAAATCTGAATCATAAAGACCTACCATATTTTTTTAAAGTAATATATATTTAAACTGTTGTCAGTTCTCTCCTTTTTTTCTCTTTTCCTCAGGCTAATGCCTGCCAAATCAAACCACCAGTAGCTGCATAAAAACCCACAAAAGTGGGGTGATAAATTAAGAAAACAAAATATTGGATATATTTTGTCATAACTTGCCAGTGAATTTTTTAAAAATGAAAATACATATTTAAATGACTGATTTGTACGTGCCAGTTTTGGACAAAAATCCTCTTGATCAGTCTTGTAGATAGCTGAAACATTAAGGTTCAACTGGCTGGCCTAATATACAGTATTAGCTGTATTCAGTTTATGTAAGTAATTTATTCTGATTCTCTGCAACTACAGTATGATATTGTGTATTCTGATGTGTATTCTGAAATGACAATATTGTTATTATTATTGTTATTTTTGTTTTGTTTTTCCAGAAAAATATTAGCCTAACTCATAATTTGAAGAGAAACACAGTCTGGGACAACTCTATGTAAAAATGTATGACTTTGTGGAGTTAGAGTTTGTGGACTAAGCACACCATAGGTTTTATTCCAAAGAGAAAAGTACAGTCGTCAACCCCGTTTTGGAGAAATAAGTATCCTCATCAAATCCAGTCAACAGGTCATATTAAACGTATTTGTCAGCTATAAGTTTGTCTCTAAAAGGACAGGACAAAGCAGCTCGTTCCGACAGTCCCCTGACCCTTAGGGCTGGCCACTGAAATCCTAACTTTATGAGTAAGGGGCAATTACATTCGGCCAGATAAAGAGGTTGGATGAGCCTGTCTTGTGTGTTGTGAGACTTCCTGCAGCTTTGGTTGTCTGTGAGGCAAAGGGGACAGTTTACCTCCACCACCATAAATTATGCACATCTTTATACTGCTATTACCCCTCATCCAGCTCCTTAGGGGCTAAGGAACAGTCAGTTATCACCCAGGAACCAATCTGTTTCTGCACTGTAAGGATGACCCCAATACACAGCCCATTTAGAGAACTGGCTGCAGTAAAGGCATTACAGTTGACCTTTGCATTTTCCCCAAACAAAAGGCCATACATGTTAAAGCTTTCGCTGCATTCTTTTGTCTTTGTCTGGCCCTACACCCACTCAGTGCATGTGTTGGTGTTTAACAAGCTGATGGGATGGAGGGAGATTAAAGGCTGGAGGGAACATAGTAGGAAAGGAAGGTAGGAAGAAAAAAATGCTGCCATTTTGGAGGGAAGTGCCACTTAAAGCTGGCTTCCCTGTGGCGGCAATAATAATGCTTAACCAGCCAGGATCAGAAACTTTGACTCACTATATCTATCTTTGAGCAGATTTCTAATGATCACAGCAGACTTTGTCCTACTAGAGTGGGGATGTCCGACTCATTTTCACCAAAAGCTACATGAGCATTATGGTGGTGCTCAAAGGGCCAACTGTATGTTGTGTACTTCGTATGACATGTCGTGTTTAAACATGAAACGTCATGTTCCTTGTCTCATTACTACAGCTGAGCACCACTAACAAACAACAACTGAGCTCTACATGGCATTTTGTGCATAGAAACAGAGTTTTAACATGTCTTCACTGAAAAATAGTACATGTACGACTGACTAAATGTGAAATAAATATCACAGACTTACTATTAAAAGTAAAAGTAAGTGAGTTTTACTCACTGTTAAGTTGTGGTAAGTAGCTGGTGGGATGCCGTAATTTTGAGGGTAAAATAATTGACATGCATTATAGGAGACACAGTTTATGGTCATTGCTGGCTTTAAAGCAGCATATGCTTACTTTAAGACATTAATGCTTTGAAGCTCTCATGGGCCACATAAAATGCCATGGTGGGCCATATTTGGCCCACAGGCCTTGAGTTTGACACATGTCTTGCCCATATGTGTATGTTAAATAATAAGCAGTGATGTTCGAGTCTTGAACCAAGAACTCAAAACTCAGTCATTTTACTGACTCATTCTTCCTTTTCATTGACTTATTGACTCACTGATTTGTCTCTGCTACAACTAGCCAGCTATAGATACTATCTGAAAAGAAGATACTAGACAGGCAAGATGTCACTAAAATGCAGCTTCTATTCTTACTGCCTTCAATAATTTTCAAACTAATCACTGAATTAGCCCTGTGGGAAAAGCAGAAGCTCGGGTTTCTTGTTTCAGCTCAACTGACACTCTACTGTCCGACTCACTTATTTGAATCAGTAATGACAAACGCAAAGTACAACTCATGACTTGAGAGCAAATCAAAACAGTGACATATGTATGTGCTGTTTTGAAGAGTACCTCTTTTACCTGGGTTTAAAAGTTTAAGATTCTGGACATCATGCCAATACCAACGTAGTCCTCCCCTGAAATATTCACTATTTTCCCCACAAATAAATGGATCATTTTCCTGTTTCAATCCAGTTTTATCAGTGGTTTGAAACCGTTGTTTACACGACTCAGTGACTCAAATGAAGCAAATGGCTCAAAAACCAGATTCTTAAGTCAGTTTTATAAAAGCACCGAACAGATTTTAAGAAACATGTTTTTCATCCCAAAGGTGTCATTTTCCAGAAACCTGGTGCTTTCATCATATGTGTGTGCTGAATACCATTTATATAGGCCAAGAAAATGGGCTATAAGGGAGTTAAAATCAGGTCATGGCTGTTTTTAAACTCTGTCTGGGGATGGATCATCATTCTTGCTGATGATTTAGAAAAGAAATGATTTGTGAAGCAGTTACCAGAGTAAAGCACGTATGTTTACATTTTTGTACATTTACTTTTGTTTTTACTCGAGATCTAAACTGAGAAGGCAAAAGTGTTTTTTTTTTCCTTAGTAGATACAGCGGGTAAAATAAGTATTGAACACGTCAACATTTTTCTCAGTAAATATATTACTAGAGGTGCTAATGACATGAAATTTTCACCAGATGTCGGTAACAACCCAAGTGATCCATACATACAAAGAAATCAAACCATTAATATCCAGAAATGAAGTTATTTGTAATAATGTGGAATGGCACAGGGAAAACGTATTGAACACATGAAGAAAGGGAGGTGTAAAAAAGGCATGGAAAGCCAAGACACCAGCTGAACTCTCTCAGTAATTTGAAAACAAGTCTGCCCCTTGTCAGTGCAAGTTAATATCAGCTGGTTCAGTCCCAAATGATGGCCAGGTATCACACAAGAACCATCTTATGATGGGTAAAAATAAAGAGCTCTCTCAAGACCTTCACAASCTTATTGTTGCAAAGCATAATGATGGCATCGGTTACAGAAGAATGTCTAAACTTCTGAAGGTTCAAGTGAGCACTGTTGGGGCCATAATTCAGAAGTGGAAAGAACATCATTTCATCATAAACCGACCACGACCAGGTGATCCTCGCAAGATTTCTGACAAAGGAGTGAAAAGAATTATCAGAAGAGTTGTCCAAGWGCCAAGGACCACTTGTGGAGAGCTTCAGAAAGACCTGGGATTAGCAGGTACGATTGTTTCAAAGAAAACAATAAGTAATGCACTGAACCACCATGGCCTGTATGCACGCTCACCACGCAAGACTCCACTGCTGAAGAAACAGCATGTTGAAGCTCCTTAAAGTTTGCTGCACAACATTTAGACAAGCCTGTGTAATACTGGGAGAATATAGTCTGGTCAGATGAGACCAACATTGAACTGTTTGGATGCCAGAATACACATCATGTTTGGAGGTCAAATGGCACTGCACATCAGCCCAAAAACACCATACCAACAGTGAAGTTTGGAGGTGGGAACATCATGGTGTGGGGCTGTTTTTCAGCATATGGTACTGGCAAACTTCAAATAATTGAAGGAAGGATGAGTGGAAAAATGTACAGAGACATTCTTGATAAAAATCTGCTTCCATCTACCAGGATGATGAAGATGAAACGTGGCTGGACATTTCAGCAAGACAATGAGTCCAAACACAAAGCCAAGGAAACTCTCAGTTGGTTTCAGAGAAAGAAACTAAAGCTGCTGGAATGGCCCAGCCAATCACCTGACCTGAATCCAACAGAAAATCTATGGAAAGAACTAAAGATCAGAGTTCATAGAAGAGGTCCACGAAACCTTCAAGATTTGAAGACTGTGTGGAAGAATGGGCCAAAATCACACCTGAGCAATGCATGCCACTAGTTTCTCCATACAGGAGGCATCTTGAAGCTGTCATTGACAACAAAGGCTTTTGTACAAAGTATTAGATAAATTTCAGTAAGTGTGTTCAATACTTTTTCCCTGTGCCATTCCACATTATTACAAATAACTTCATTTCTGGACATTCATGGTTTGATTTCTTTGTATGTATGTATGGATCACTTGGGTTGTTACCAACACCTGGTGAAAATTTCTCGTCATTAGCACCTCTAGTAATATATTTACTGAGAAAAATGTTGACGTGTTCAATACTTATTTTATGCGCTGTAGATTCTACTTTACCTGTTCGGGTCGAAGGCCAGGTGGTACCCAGGCGTACTCCTCCAACACGCAGCCCGAGTCATCGTCTGACGTGGAGCTGCGCTGAAAGCCAGAGGTGAGCTTGCTGACTTTCTGGTCCATCATAAAGTCCCGTTGGCGACCCTTGAAGCTGACAGTTAGCCCTGCTGCACTCATCAGACTCTAGGTTTTCTAAAGAGACACAGAGGGGAAAAAAGAAAAGTTAAAATAAATAGGAAAAATCAAATTTTACCATTAATCTATTTATCTCGTGAGGGCTTTTCAAGTAAATGTTAACCAACTGACTCACCACTATCACTGACTCTTTATGAGGCTCTCCAACCACCGGCCCTCAACAAAAACTCATTATGGTATCTGAGCGTGCCTTTCTTGGCTCACTTCTGGTTGATGAGTCTTACAACTTAAAGATAATCATGAAGTAAAGTGCACCCTTCCAGTTTGACTGTGGCAGCAGCCGAACTTGTGTTCCTCTCATGTGGCTTTTGCGGATGAGGAAACCATGAGAAATTTCCCAAGAAACTTTATGAGGTAATGTCCTATCTTAGTATAGTGGCAAACGAGCAGTTTTGTGTCAATTTGGTGCAGTTAAGGTTCACATAGCTGAGATGCTACATCACCCTCTGTCCCAACAGGGGCCACCACATGGGACTGGATGCTGGCTTGATCAGTTGAGCTTTAGGTCTGTGTAAACACAGGCTTGATTTGAAGACAGGCCCACCATATGGGGGAATGTCCACAAACCTGCTCTGTTTCTATTCATCTCCCCTTTTCCTTTGCCTGTTTGTTTTCGAACCTGCTGCAGCCACTGATCTTTCTTCTCACGCTTGAGTTCAACAAAGACATTCATGTCAGACAGGTGACGTTGTGGGAAAAACTGAACAACGAAACAAAAATAGAAACATAATTGTACAGCTACTCGAGAAAGACTCAGCACTTTTGTTTAGGCCAGATCATTTGTAAATGTTTGGCCAAGCTACGGGAAAAAATCTGATCAAATCTTGTGCTATATGATAAGAGAATTTTTTCATTCACTCTCTATCTGTACCTGTAGAAGAACCAGGGTGCATCATGGGAATGATTTTCAGACCGTCAAAAAGCCACGCCAAGCCCTAAAGCAGACTTTATTTCTTTCGTTTGGTGTATCTTTTTGTAAGCAGACTATAATTTGTCAAAAAGCCTTGTGGGTGACGATCATTGCTCCCAATGGACAGAAATGACGGGAGTGGGACTGAGTACAGACCCAGAAAGAAAGATTGAAGTATAATCAAAGTTTTGCACTTTAATGCAACATTGTTATGAAGAGCGCTCAACCCCCCCTGCTCCTTCATTTTCTCACTAACGATGAAGAACACAACTGCATCCTTGTGTGTTTTCTCCAGCAGATGAGTTATGTGTGCATCTGTCCAAATATCGAGGAGGTACAGTGTCTCCTTGTAGTCTGTCCACGATTCATTGTGGCATCCGTGTAGTGGTAGCATTACCAACACTGAAGGGCTAATTTTTACCATGATGCTTAGCAATGGTGGCTCATGATGTCCAAAAAGGCATATGTTCCCTTGTAGTTGGTTTGGGTCAAAGCTGGTCTGTATTCACACCAGAAGCGGACTGAGACCACCTCAAAAAGTGGGTCAGGTGTGAATGTATCCTTAAATTGAGAAGATTCAGACTATAATCTAGTCATTTTTGACATATTTTCAGATGGCTATTTTATTGCAGTGTACAGTCAATTTTGAATCTTGTGTCAATACTCAGTTGTAGCCCACATAGACTGTTGCCCACAAAGGCCTCACCCTACGTGGACCGTAGGCCGTCAGTATAGGCTGCACAAACAGCACGCTGCTCTGTTAGTGGTACATTTTATAACACATGCCTTCAGTTGTCTTTTCACAATATAACTTCACAAAATTCAGTATTAATAAAAGGATTTTAAAAAATAGGAATTTGGGTTTAGCTCCACTATCAGTTCTTGTAATTGTAAATGTAGTTGCTAAACGTACAATTGAAAACCGATTCTTTGGTCTGTGATGAAATTCCAAACGCTGCTGTAAAAAAATTTCCACCTTCTTCATTTTTTCCATTTAGTTTGCTGATGGCACAATGAATGCTGGGATATCATCGGCCGTGTTGGATACTCAGATACAGCCCACTTTTTTGCAGTTTTTTGGGCCGCATGAGTCTCTTATGAATTGGAACAATATGACATGGCACAGTGACATTAGCAGCCGACAAATGCCCCCTAAGTGGGCTAAAACCACTGAATTTAGACAAACCCAACAAAAGCTAGAGTACATGTGGAAAACCCATTATTTCCTGAGAAAAAGCTACCTTTTTGATATTTAATGTGGGAGTTAAAAATCATTTTTAAAACGACAAAGTATAGCAGCAGCTTTTTAAAAAGAAAAAATGAAAACCTTGGCAATAATTTTATTAGCTAAGTTTAAAAATGATTAATTGCTAGGCAAGCTTTTCAGAACCAAGTAAACACGGAGATGATGAACGGATGTCCAGTTGTGGTCGCCTCTCACAGGCGGAGGTCTCTAGCTGAGATCAAACGAGAACCCAGGCAGCATCCAGCAGCCTGGCCCTGGCCACCTCCCCCAACGCTTCCACCCCCTGTGGCTGGTGAGGGCACCGAGGGCCACCGAAAACTGAGCTGACAACAGCTGAGAAAACTAGATTGCAGTCTTTGAAAAGAAATAAAACCCAATAATCAAATATTTGCCTGAATAGTTTTTTGCATCATGAGGTAGTGAAAACCGGTTGCTAAGAGCAAAATAACTCAGACAGTTACTGGTTATTCATGGCAGCTCATCTACCCCTGATTGGCACCTTCACCCAGACAGGTTTAAGTGTGATGGATACCAGTGGTTGTGTATTCACTCGTGTTGTTTCAGGTCAGGCAGATTTAGTCATGACATGTCCCATTAAACCGCCTCTGATGTTCTCAACAATGGCGTCTTTGTAGAAGAATCTATTGGAGACTTGTTGAATCAAGAGCTTGTTTGGTTTTCTTTATGTCATTTTTTTTCTTGCCAAGATTTAAGTAGGGTTCATTGTCTCACCATACATAAATAGTAAAAACACTCAAACTGAGATAACCTGCCTTTAGCTGAGGGCACGGGGCAATAAATGAGATGCTTTCTTGTAGTTGCATCTTGCTAATGAGACCTGCAAAAACTGTGGTCTTGTTTGAGAACAGATTGGGTTTCATGTGGGAGATGTTTTGATTCAAGAGAATTCGCAACTTCCAGTTTTATCAGGCACTGAATCAGCTGTGTGCTGTGGAAGATGTTTGCTTACAGATGGTCCAAAACCTGAATGTCAGGCTTGAACTTTAGCCAGGCTTTTTAGCCCTTTTCTCATACAACCAGATCTGCATGAGTGCTAATTTGTCTTTAAGATCATTTCCTCTGACTTTGCCCAGAACACTTTCGCGTTTACAGCATGAATGACAGGAGCAATGAACCAGCTAACATCAACATTTACTGACTCATCGCTTGTCCTGGCTTTTGGTGTTTTCTTCAAAACAATGAATCTATGTATTTTTTTTGGGGGGGGGGGGGGGGGGGGGGGGGGGCTTTTTCGAAGCCTCTTTTCTCCTTCCCTTCCTCAACCTCTGTCCTCCCGTTCCAGCCCTCCTCCCACACTTTCCAGACCCCTGCAGTCCTGAATGTTTAACAGTCCCTCACTCTTTTGTGAAGGTGCTTGTTAACATGGCTTTAGGAGCTGCCGACCCACATAGCTGTCTGATCTGCCCACGGAGAAGTCGAGGGGTGGTAGCTGGGGTGGGCGCAATTACGCTGAAGCTCAAATAGAGTGACTAACATGAATGAAAATGTTAATGTCCGCGAATTGAAGAGGAAGTTCAAGTCAGGTTCGCTGAAGGATGGAAACCTTTAACATTCTTTGCTTCCAACGGTTTCAGTCAACGTAGATCTGACGGCAAACTGCAACTGAAAAGATGCTTGTGTTTTAATTTTAAAAAAGCACAAGGAAGCTTATATTCCTGCACTTTACCAGACACGAGCTCAGTGTATAAGTTTGTCCAAATGTGATCGATTACAGAACAAAATAGCCACTTTCTTACTTCACCCTTTAGAGACCTGGTCCCTGGCTGCGCTGTCTGACTCGACAGCGTGTGTTAACTACAGTGGCTGAGTTATTTATTGCTCAAACTCTCAAAGGACTTTATACTGCCATCGAATAATAAACAGAAACCACGGGAACATTTTAAAACAAGTTTCATTAATACTTACATCAGAGTCGCCCCTCGAAAACTGGAAGACTTAAGGCTTGGATTTACCACCCCTGAGAAAGCGCACAGGGAAAAATAGGTGACTTCTGGTCTGAATTACTGTCTCTATTCCTCTAGGAAGTGCGTGATGGACATGCTCACAACCCAACACAGTGCTCTCTGTCAGTTTGGACCAGCCTAGCATGTTTAACTTGGCCTCATCTAGGTCAGAAAATGCAGGACAGACTTGAGCCAGAGAGAGAGAAAAAAACAAGAATTTCTCTTCTGTATCCCTGCCTACCAGAGAGTGAACTCAAACAAATGGGTTTATTTTTAAAGTCCGACAAGATATATATAAAAAATGCAACACATTAAAGGTTTTCTTGTATGCACAAATGTTTAAAAAAAAACAATGCTCTGCACCTAATTTGTTACATTTTGTTTTAAAATATAATGCATGTTAGCTGCAGGCAAGAGCAGATCTGTTACAATTACTTCCTTGTGTGAACCAGAAATCTGTGTGTAGTGTGCTTATGCAAATTTCAGTCCAATTTTACACTGGTCTTCATGAGCTCAATGAAAATCCAGTAGGCCAACCCAGCCACACAAAACCAACAGTTTTGGCCATTAAATGTTGCAGACATATGAGAGGAACTCAAGGTGTTACAGAGACTCTGGTCTACTTTTATGACCAGAGGTGCATTTTTTTTTTCCAAAAACCAAATGGATGGGAGCAACAACCTCTACAAGGACTTACATTAGTGAGACCACCTACACCGACCTCACTCAACTCATGTCCACTGCTGTCACAAAGACACTGGTATTCAGGAAGGATGACATGACTGGCTCCCAGAGTGAGGTATAAAGTCAAACCAGCAGTTTATCACAATATAAGCAGATTTATTATTTATCTTCTAAAGTTTTCTAGTTGTTCTTACCTCAAAGCGGACCAAGTTTACACAGGAAATCAGGGGGGGAAATGATCTTATCACAACTGCATCCAGTCCTACATTCCTTTCCGGCCTCTTGGGTCCATGTCTATGCGAGATCCATTCAGTTCTGAATACGGGACAGGATCAGTCAGCCTTCTCTAGCTGAGCTGTCAGCACAGGAACAGCCCATTTAAAAGCCAAGTCTGTGAGAAGTCAGGGAGATGCCTGCGTGCATTGGGAGTGTGTGTGTGTGTATGTGTGTGTGCGTGCGTGCATGTGTGTGTGTGTGTGTGTGTGTGTGTGTGTGTGTGTGTGTGTGTGTGTGTGTGTGTGTGTGTGT